TCACACACACACACACACACACACTCTCACACACACACACACACACACTAACACACACATGCACACACACACACATATATATATATATATATATATATATATACTGTATATGTATATACACATATATATGCATATGCATATTATTATTATTTATTTTTTTAAGAAAATCTGTATTTGTCAAAGCTTTTAGTGGCTAATGGCACTTTCATACTCATTTGTTGTCTACAGTGTGGGATAATTGTTCATTAGTATTTTCTCTGCGAGGTAGAAGAATAGCCAAGCTTCTCTGCAGGATGTAGATGTGCTAATCAGAGTCCGAGAGGCTCACCATATGTAATCCTTGTCTTAAGTCATTTCCACGCCAGTCTAACTGTCCTGTGCTCCCTTTGCTCGTAGGGCACAAACTGCCTCTGCCAGGTCTTGGAATTGCTAGACATTTTGGGAAGGCTTTCCTGACATGATGTTTTTAAACAGCACTGAATATAGTGTCACTATTTTTCTTTTTGAAGGATCATGTACCACATTAATCTTTCACAGTTTGGGTGATATCATTAACAACAGTCCAGGTCATTAAAATGACTTTTTATTTATAAATAAATAAAATAGTCAATTAAAAAATAACAATACAACAAAAATATGTTCTGTAATATAATAAATAATCTATAAATACATTACATTTAAATAATACAGTCACTCTAAGAAACATTTGGACACTTAAAAATCTGAATGTTATTGCATTAGAAACATGTCAAACCTAACGGCATATTCAAATTTTTTTAGACCTTTTCTTAGTTTCATATAAACTCAAAATTCTGAGAAAAAAACTCAGAATTCTAATAACTTTTCCCTCACAATTCTGAGTTTACATCACACAGCTGTTTTTTATGTCTGCCATGAAATAAAAAAAAAAAATGTTGAGTTTATAACTTGCAATTCTGACCTTTTATCACACAATTACCTGGTAACACTTTACAATAAGGTTCATTAGTTAACATTAGTTAACTACTTTAGTTAACATGAACTAAGCATGAACAATACTTCTACAGCATTTATTAATCTTAGTTAATGTTAATTTCAACATTTACTACTGCATTATTAAAATCAAAAGTTGTGCTTGTTAACATTAGTTAATGCGCTGTGAATTAACATGAACTAACTATGAACAACTGTATTTTCATTAACTAACATTAACAAAGATTAATAAATACTGTAATAAATGTATTGTTCATTGTTTGTTCATGTTAGTTAATACATTAACTAACATTAACTAATGGAACCTTATTGTAAAGTGTTACCAATTACCTTTATGTTTTTTTTATTCCATGGTAGAAAAAGGCTTCCATAATAAATTCACTTTTTTTATTTGTATTATTTATTTATGTATCATGTATGTATGCATGTATTGCATTATAGGTGTCATTAGTTCGCTACTTTGTTAGACATTAAAACATTTTTATGAATGGTTTAAGTGTCACAATATTTTTTAGTGCTACTGTATAGCTGTAATTATTTTTACCACCATTTATTTTTTTGTATTAATTACCACACCGATAATTTCTTTTTTGTTTATTTTGGGGTAAATAAATTAGCATTTCTTTGTCAGATTCACCTGTTGAACCTCTCTTTTTCCCTTTTTAGCAACAGCCCCTGAGTGCCGCCCCATCCCAGTCGGTCCAGCCATCTCCTCTGCCCAAACCAGTGTCATCAGTCCATCATGCCCAGAGGCCCACACACCCATCCCACGGACCTCACACCCCTCACTCAGCCAGCTTACCCAGCTGCCCCGGCAGAGGAAAGATGGCCAAGTTCCTCAACCCCGACGAGATGACCTCCAGGGATTACTATTTTGACTCGTACGCCCACTTCGGCATTCATGAGGTATGAGCACATCAGAGCAGCGGATGCTTGCATTTAAAAGACATGCTGAGACGTGTGATGTAGGATATAAGTACTCGTGGTAATCGACGTCAGTCATGTTGATTTATGCCGGGAGTTATGTATAATGCAGAGTATGCAGAGAAATGGAGCAGGAGCGAGACGGGGTGGGGGTGTCATTGAATTATAGGATGAGAGAGCAGGGAGAACAGGAGGTTCAGGCGAGACCTGCAAGATTAATTTTGTTCAGACTCATTTTTAGTATGTAGGTCAGATCTTTTTCCCTTCCCTCATCTCAATGTGACAGAGGCAAACACCTAAAAAGCTGCATAGATCTGAGCAGACATGCTGTAATGGTGTCAGAGATCCATGTAGTAGTCTTATTTTGGTTTTTGTACAGTAATGCTAATAATAGCCATGGTTGTGAATGTTTACCTGATTAATATATGTTTTTATGGTACTACAAAATAAATAAATATATGTTTTTATGGTACTTCAAAGAATCATGTCCAAAAAAAAACAAGACAATACCATAATGCTTTTTAGAATAGGTGTTTTTAAACGCACTTATAATGCCCGAATGTCATCTAGATGAATTTTTATTGATTAGATTTTATAATCGCATTGCTTTATTAACCCTGTATATGTAAATCAATGAGATCTTTAAATCAGTATAGCAGACTATGTACATAAAATGCATATAAATATCAGTTGTCACTCTATATCTCCTAATAATATGTCTCAGTAAGATGATATTTATAGTAAATGTTAATAATTTAGAGGCCTAAGAAATGTGTGTATCACATGATACAGAAGGCTTTATATTGTTAAACATGTTTAAATCTACTGAATAATTTGTTGGCTGTGTTTTAAAACTGAATGGTACAGTAAGATATACCAAAATATGTCCATGCCCAAAAAACATCACCATGGTACATTTTTGCTCAAGGGTGAAGACTGAATAATTCATTGAGTGTGTTTCAATACAAAGTGAGCTGCCTACCTAGACAACATTTTATATGCCCTTTACAAAAAAGATCTAGCTAACCCATGCTGCAATGATGTATTAGTAATGCCATGGTATTTTTATATATACACACCATACTAATGAGTTATTACCATATTAATACACACTGAAAAGAATTGGTGTAGGATTTACTTAACAATTTCAACTCAAGAAATACTTACAAATAAACAGGAAGTAGAACATTGAATTAAACAGAATATTTTGAAGTAGGAAAACTGAAATAGTATTTTCTAGTAAAACCTACTCCAATTGGCACTCAGAGTTACTATATATACTGTATATACAGTGTATATATATATATATATATATATTACTAGCATATTGGCTGTTTATTAGTACTTATAAAGCACATATTAATGCCGTATTCTGCATGGCTGTATTTTAGATCCATTAATCCTACCACATACCTACATTTAAAGGGATAGTTAACCCCAAAATAAAAAATTCTGTCATTAATTACTCAACCTCATATCGTTTCAAACCCGTAAGACCTTCGTTCATTTTCGGAACACAAAGATATTTTTGATGAAATCCAAGAGCTTTCTGACCCTGCATAGACAGCAACACAACTGACACATTCAAGGCCCAGAAAGGTAGTAAGGACATTGTTAAAATAGTCCATGTGACATCAATGGTTCAACCGTAATTTTATGAAGCTACGAGAATACTTTTGTGTGCAAAGAAAACAAAAATAGTAACTTTATTTAACAATTTATTTTCTTCCGTGTCAGTCTTCGCTGCACGTTCAGGAGAGTACCACGATCAATTTTCATTTTTGGGTGAACTATCCCTTCCTACTTAAAGCTGCAGTTCGTAAGTTTTGCCTCTTTGTCGCCATCTCTGTTTGAAACCTGCAAATGCAGTTACTTACTTACTCCAGCGCGGATGAATCTAATGTTTTGAGGAGTATGTGTGGCTGTCAGTCACCGCACCGGTGTGGATATTTACTGTACTTAGGAATCACAGATTCTAGCCTACGTCTTGGAATATGACCCAAATAAGAATTTTCACTGGATATTGTCATCAGAACAAGTAAGTAACAAGTCTGCCACTTTTGCTCTGACCAACTGAGGAAAAAAAGCATTACAATAAATCGTGCTACCAATGGTGATTAAATCTTAACGATCGATTAGCTCATATCACATTAAACCGTGCAAATTATTATTATTGTTATACTTTGTTCTCAAATTGTTAATGTTAACAACATCAGCGTTGCGTGACTACGTGTATGTAGTGTGTTTTAGCATGTTGATTTCAGTTTCTGTATAGTCTAATCTCTAATTGTAATACCATTCGAATTTCATATTAAGAAATTCTTTTAACCAAAAAAGCAAATTATTTTTCCTTCGAACTGGTTCTCTTTAAAATAATCTGTAATCAGATGCACATTTAAAACTGAAATAATTTAATTTCAGTCACGTGTTTCATAAACACATAATCCTTTCTGGATTACAATCTGCCATCAAAATGATAAATGTAATTATTCCAGCTGCTGTGAGAAAAGGCTAACGATCCACCACCTGCATGATCCTCACATGCGATATAGCCTACTAGCCGGGACTCAATCTTTATGTTTATAGACGTGACGTAATGTCGCAGCAGCATGCTCGAATTTCCCACGAAAACCTACCCGTACCACTCAAATTAGAAAACATTATTATAAGCTAACCGTTGTGAATCGGGATAAAGTAAGGCGATAGTTTTGAACACTGGCTGGTTATGTACTTGCTCAAATATTGATTTTGGATAATTTTTAACCAAAAAAAGTTATGGACTGCAGCTTTAACTAATAAACAGTGACTTAGGAGTTTATTGAGGCAAAGTTAATAGTTAGTTAATAGTGAGAATTGGACCTTAAAATGTGACCGTGTGTGTGTATATCTGTGCATGCATGTACAGGAAATGCTTAAGGACGAAGTGAGGACGTTGACATACAGGAACTCCATGTACCATAACAAACACATCTTCAAGGACAAAATCGTGCTGGACGTGGGGAGTGGTACTGGCATCCTCTCCATGTTTGCTGCCAAGGCCGGAGCCAAGCACGTGTATGGGGTAAGAGGGTTGAAGGTGCAAACGAATAATCCTCTTTTGTAGGGAAATATGATGTCATATGACCACCTACTTATTTCATAATAAGGATCATAAATATAAGTTCAAAACAGGAAAATGGTCTGTTTAAAAGCCATAACATGTGATATAGTATATTATTACGAACACTTGTATGTTATGACTCATTAATCATTCAGTATTCATTATATATCAGCCAATGTTAGATAATTAATTTTGCATGCTCATTTCATCGTTTTTACATTTATATTACATTTGCCATCATAATGTAATGCAATTAAAGTTAATCAAGTCAAATTAGTCCGTTTTATATATGTAGTGATTTATACATCAGATTTACAGTCAATAGTAATATCAATAAATGTTTAAAAGTTAAGTTTATTTTCCATTTTTACATATTTTATTGTTTTATTTTCAATGTATTCAGACAAAATACTGTATTATTTTAAGACAATACTGTAGTATTTAAGATAATACTGTAGTATTTTAAGACAATTTATCTTTTAACGATTTTGAGTATGAAAATAATGATCAACTTATCATTATTGCTACACACACACACACACACACACACACACACAATCAAGACGCAACTGGACTACATGTTATACCAGCACTATACCATAACACCACCATAGAATCTTATTTTTTTTCAGGGGCCACTTCTGTTTTTCTGTCTTGCAATACCTTCAATTTCATTCCATTTCTCTTTCCTGTTCTGTCCATTCAAAGCTCTCCCCTTCAATGCATTCCTCCCCAGTGGTTAGTGAAGGTTCTTAGTGGGCAGCCTTTATTGGCCGTGCTGATATATCAGGCTCTAACACGCTACATTGTGAGGCTGTGGTAATTGGCTCTTTGGATAAATCTGAGAAAGAGACTTTGGAAAAAGCAGTAAAGGTCAGAAAGGCCACATTAACCATGTGGTGCTTGTTTTGCACTTTCGCTTTGAGAACTAAAGCCAAAGCTTGTTAAGCCAAGTTAGAGTACGAGCAGAGAGAGAAACTCTCGTGTGTCCTGGAAACCTCTTGGGACAGAATGTTCTGAGAGCTTTTCTCAGTTTTCAGAGGAGAGCGAACTACCTCGGGAAGCTAAGCCGCATGCGGGTGTCTGTCTGAGCCGCAGTCTCTGCTGTAATTGAGCTGATATGATTTGCACCTCGCTGCTCTTATCCAGTTGCACTGTGATAATGAACAATTCTCTGAATGGCTTCATCATATTTAAATGCCAGAGAGCGCAAACTCTCCTCAGTGTCTATGTTACAGTGCAGCTCATCACAAACTCAAAAATACCACTTGCTCAAAATTGCAATGCAGAATATAAACTAGATTATTAAATTTTCTGAGGAAAATTTGAGTGATGCTTGCCAGCTCAAAATGCTCTGCCACAATATTCTGGAAATAGTTGTACAGTTTACTGTGCAGTTATTCTTATTATTATTTACCTATAGTGGCTAATGAGTTGGAAGTCTTGCACATTTCACAGGAAATATCTTACGTCCACATTGAAAAGTTAGGTGAATATATGGTTCTTGTCTGTCTTTTATTGTAAGTTTTCTGGATTTTTTTTCACCCACTTTACTGTCTGCCAGGCAAAAACCATGTAGCTCTTTAGAATAAACCTCTAACCATACACTATAAGAACAAAATCTGTAGAAAATCGTAAAAGGTACTAGTAAGGACACCACACACTATAGGAGCAAAACGCAATCCCCTCATGTTTGTGGTCTCTCACATTTTGAAGATCTTATAAGATTTTAAAAATCTTTTAGTGTGTACCCAGCATAAAGCAAACTGGCCAGGAAAATGTAAATTTCAAGAGCTTTGGCTACAAAATCACCACTTCAAAGACTGGGTGTTAAAATTAGATGACAGAAAAGCAAAAACTCAATGTGAATAAAATAAAAAGACTGAATAAATAAATAAAAAGACTGAATGATGAACTTGATGACAAACAGAAAAGCCTTCAGAGCGTTTAACCCCTGAAAGCATAAAAACCATAAATTAATTTATGTAAAAATAGTACAGAAAAATATTAAAGTGCATTTAACAGGGAAAAGCAAAAAAAATTTAAATAGTGTGTATGTGTGTTTAACTTAGTTTTGTACTAAAAACGTCTATGAACAAGTAAATAAAGCTTGCAAATGGATAGATTTAAAACACTGTCTGTGGCTGGTTTTTGTCTCAGTGCTCAGCACAACAGCGGCCTGTTTTTTCGTTCATTATAGGTCATGGAAATTCAGCTTTTTAGTCAGTGAAAGTCAGGGAATTTGACATTTGTCTTAGAGTGGGAACCCTGGTATTTAATCATAATTTTATTTTATAATTAATAATAAATTTTGCATAACTTCTGTAAAAATAGAGCATGGTGTTAGCAAAGCCAAAATCATGGGTTTTAACTCCCAGGGGATATATAAACTTATAAAATGTATAGCATAAAATGCAATATAACCTGCTTCAGGTAACAGCGTCTGCCAAATTCATAAATGGAAATGTAAAACATTCATGGCCTACTAATAGCTCATGACTTTTTGGATGTTCATGATGTTTAAAACTAGATAATTATTTGCTTTCACATGTAACTTGCACCTATAACGTGGTCAATTATCAAATTAATTTTGACTCATTCCTTAGTTTGCAAAAAAAGTTTAAAGTAATGCATTTACACGAGAAGTGTAATTTAATACTTATAATTTTGTGACTATATTACTTATCTGTACAAAAAGTTGTCTAAATTCTCTTTTTAGCAGTTTTTAATTGCTGTTTTAGGTGGATAAACTCATGGTTATGTGTTACCAGCATAATTTTTTTCATTGGAAACAGTCCTTTTGTTATGTCCTACACATACCATGCAAAACTTAGTTTATTTTCTTACATTTGTCATGACACGAGTGGAAATTAGCACAGTAAGTTACCTTTTTGATTGAGCTACTTGATCGAAACATGTTCTTTCAAAATGAAAACACAGAGTTAAGCCAAATGGTAACTGTTTTTAAGTTTGAACCAGAAACCTAATACAATTGTGCTCAATGAAAATGGTGTCAAATCACACTAAATTGTTTAAATGAAATGAACATCAAAAATCAATTTGAGTACATGTTAACATATAATTCTGCAATCTCATGGCTGTAATTTTTAAACAGTATCTATTTGAACATTTATGCTGGTACAAAGACTCATAGACTTCCATTGTAAGTGCATTACTGTGAACAGTTTTACAAACTGAAGCAAAAGTCAAATTATTTTCTTGAATGACATGTATTGAACCAGGAAAAGTCCATTAATGCTTAGCAAAATATTTGTGAATGAACAAAGTAGCTGTTGAGCTATACTAAAATGGATATTTTCACCAAATACCTCAAACTGTAAATGAAAGAAAGAGATAAAATCGTCATGTTTAATGTTGTCTTGTTTGCAAAATTTTGCCCTTGATCACTGTTTACCGCAGCTCAGGCCCAGGCACTTTCCTCTCGCCTTGATCATGTACATCAAGCGCTTTTCTTCTGAGAGTGGAAATGTGCTGACTGTGTTATGGGCTTCTCTGATTACTTTTAAACTCAATGCTGACCCACTGCAGTACGTGAAGCTTTTCCAGAAACAGGTGGGCCTGCCATGTAGGTTCTGATTGTTTGTCAGTTGAAGCGAAGCTGACTGACTCTGTGTGCTCCACTGGAGTTGACGGCGATGGCTATGGACACTAACGATGGCTGGGAAAACACAAGGGACGTCATGAGGCAGAGGGATCTGTGCTGTCTGAAATCAGCCTCTCACTTATACAGCTGACGGGTTCCTACTGAATCTCTCCTCTTCCCTTTAGCCTCGGGCCACTGACAGCCCCGTTACTCTGTGTGCTCGTTTACGTATATTTCTGTCTGACAACGGGACAGGAATCTGGACTGTTTGTGAATGCTAAATGGGGCTCTTTGTGTGGCTGGAGGCTGATCAGAGGAATATGTCTAATGGGCAGGACTGCAAGTTGCAAGAATCATAAGCTCTCAATGTTGAGAGACTGTAAAGGGGAAGGACACCGTTTGTGTAAGCCATCAATAACAAGATTCAAAAGTTTGGGGCCTGTACAATTTTTTTTTCTTCATATAAATTATTTTTTTCATCAAGGATTCAAATCACACTAATTGGAATAATCAGTTTCAGTCTTGTCTGAAATAAGAGGGTAATAAGAGGTCTACCAGCTATAAGAGAATCAACAAACTATAAAAGTTTAAATCTTCACATTGTTCTGTTTTTTTCCCCTTCCTCAGATTGAATGCTCAAGTATATCAGAATACTCTGAGAAAATCATCAAGGCCAATCACCTGGACAGTGGTAAGCAGATATAATGTGTGTAGATATTGTATAAGTATGTTTTGCTGTGTAGTTAGCTTGCTTGTGTGGGTGTGTGAGAAAAACAGAATGACAAATAGGATGAGACATCGACAGGATAAAGAGTGGTTGTCAAGTGTTCTTCAATTCAGCCTCCTAAATATGCATCATTTAAAACCTCTGCAGTGTCTGAATATTAAGAGAGAATGTAAAGGGTTAGTTCACCCAAAAATGAAAATTCTGTCATTAATTACTCACCCTCGTGTTGTTCCAAACCCGTAAGACCTTCGTTCATCTTCGGAACACAGTTTAAGATATTTTTGATGAAATATGAGGGCTCTCTGACCCTCCCATAGACAGCAAGGTAACTACCACGTTCAAGGTCCAGAAAAGTACCAAGATGATCGACAAAGTAGTCCGTGTGACATCAGTGGTTCAACTGTAAAGTTACGAAGCTACGAGAATACTTTTTTGCGCAAAGAGAACAAAAATAACGACTTTATTCTGCATTTTCGTCTCTACGGCGTCACTTTGGACGTACGTTCACGACAGTATCATGACGCGAGCGTGTGGCGGCGTGTCCACAAGTGACGCAGTAGAGATGAAAATGTGGAATAAAGACTGTAAATGTTCAGTATGATTTATAATAAATATAAATGATAAAATGATTATCAAGGACACTGTCCTCCCAAAAAAGACATTAATATGTATTTTTGTCTCGTTTTCAAAAGTTTGGGGTCATTTTTTTTTTTTTTATGTTTTTGAAAGAAGTCTTTTATGCTTATCATGGCAAAAATACAATAGAAACAGTACTATTTTGAAATATTACTGTTGTCTATTTTAATACATTTAAAATGATCATTTATTCCTGTGATGGCAAAGCTGAGTTTTCAGCATCATTACTCCAATCTTCAGAGTCACATCATTCCTCAGAAATCATTCTAATATGCTGATTCGGTTATCAAGAATAATTTCTTACAATTTTCAATGTTGAAAACAGTTGTGCTGCTTAATATTTTGTGGAAATTTGATACCTTAATATTTGATGAACAGAATGTTTAAAAGAACATCATTTATTTAAAATATTATTTTTTTGTGACAATGTAAAGTCTTTAGTGTCAATTGTGACCCATTTAATGCATCCTTGCTGAATAAAAGTATTAATTTATTTCAATAAATAAATAAAAACTCTTCCTGACCCTAAAACAAAATAGATTTACTTAGTAATTAAAGTGCTGGTTTTTACTGGAAAACAAGACAAAATACTGTGTACAGTGTGCACAGTGTGATTATTCGTAGTCATAAAATGCTATGGTGCTTCTCAAGTAAATGTAAGGCAATAATACTGTGAAATATTATATTATTACAATTTAAAATAACTTTTTAATTTCAACATATTTTGAAACTTGAAACTGAATTTTTTTCAGTCTTCAGTGACACATGATCATCTTACAATCATTATATGATTTGCTGTTTAAGAAAAATGTCTTACTATTATCAGTGTTGAAAACAGTTGCACTTTTTTAAAATCTAGGGTAGGCAGTTTCTGCGCTTCTAGTGTCACCTAGCAGAACTACAAAAATAAAGTATGTTTTCAAACAAACACTGATTGCCCCTTTTATGCGTCACGCTTCCACCAACTCAAATACAGTTCCTCAGCTCTATAAAAGCGAAGGCATGTCTCAAAAGGTAAAAGTAGACTAATTTCAATAAATTCTTTTTCCACACCTACTAAACACTCTCTGGCTCAGCCTGCTACAGTGGCCACGCCCCCAAACTCTTGCTATTGGCTGCACAGAGGTATGCAAATACCTATGTTCTTCTGCTGCTTCTTTTGCATTTTATGGTGGTTGGCAAACCAACTTAAGGTGCATTTCTACCACTTAGATGGGGATGGAATGTGAAGTTCAGATGGAGGAATGGGAGAGGAAAAAAACAAACAAACAAAAATCCCACAAAAAATCCTTCTAATCAGATCTGTATCTCGCAAATATTTAAATACAGCATCTTACACCCTTAGCTGTTTCTGTGCATTCTGAAGTATATCCTATAATGTTAAAATAGGGCCTACCTCAACCAGCATTATAAAAGCTTTAATATGTTTTTTTCAGCATTATTTATTGAAAAGAAAGGTCAAAAGAATGGCATTTATTTGAAAGAAATTTTTTTTAAGTCTAAGGTGTTAAAGTCTTTACTGTCACTTTTGATCAATTTATTGCATCCTTGCTGAAAAGTAGTAGTAATTTCCTTCAAAAACGGAAATTAATAAATCAATAAATAATAATAATAATAATAAATAAACATAAAAATAAATTACAAATTTGGGGTCCAGATGCTTAAAAACGTAGACGCAAAAGTGATGTTTATTTGAATGCATGGTAGATGAAAAGTTAGAAATATGTAAGATCTAATTTGGTTAGATCTAATGAGATTTAACTTTTACAGATTTTCTTACAGAGAAAACTGACCATAGGACAGCTTATGCTAATGCCTTCTACAATGCATATATCATTTGCTATACATGTGGATTCGAATACATTTTGAGATGTAATCAAGTGCTTATTTTTACATACTTGTAGAGTATTTTTTGGGCCTTAGTTATGCTGTTTATCAAAAATCAAATGATTTTATGCAGGGTGGGAGAACGTTTATGGTTTTGACATGACCTGCATCAGGAACGTAGCTATGAAAGAACCACTGGTGGACATCGTGGACTCAAAACAAGTGGTATCCAACGCCTGCCTGATCAAGGTCAGCCTTTTTGTCTTCACTGTTTTGTTTTGTTTTACTGTTTAAAGCATAACAAATTTAAAAACAAAATATCTGTCAAGGTCGTGAGACAAAATATTTTATATTCAAGATCAAATCTATGAAGGCAAGCCTTAAGAACTTATGCTATGGTGCTTCTCAAGTAAATGTATCTTCTTTAAAAGATTTTTAGATATTTCTGCTGGAAAACAAACCAAAAAATAAATAAATAAATAAAACCAAGGCAATAATACTGTGAAATATTATATTATTACAATTTAAAATAACTTTTTAATTTCAACATATTTTGAAAGTATTGTATGCGCGTGTTTCTCACCGCATGTGTGCTAGATGAGAAGCTCAAGTGAGATCCACAGAGAATACAGCAGCATTAGTATGTAACTGATCATTAGCTGTATCACTCAGTGTGACAGTTACATAATGATCCGTTGAAATGCAATTTCATTTCATCATAAACCACTGGAGAAGGTGCTGATGAGATGATTATTGGTTGAATCGGATTCATCAAGCCTGGAAAGTTTATGGCTCCACAGATGGACTGTGAAATGCATCTGCACACCTCTCATTTTAACTGCTGAAAGATAATATGAAAAAATATATTTGAAACAAAAGGCTTTTTCAGCTTTTTACAGATATAAATTTAGCAGCTCTGTCACAACTAATCCAATTTAAAACTTCGATGCAAATCAGAGCTGGAAAATAATTAGATATGTAGCAGTCTTAATAAAGGAATTTGTAAAGTACAAGTGAATTTTGACATCACTACATTATAATATATGAAATGAAAAACATTATATTCATTTACAAATGGTATTAATGGTTTACTTTGAAACTTGAAACTGAATTTTTTTAGCAGCCATTACTACAGTCTTCAGTGACACATGATCATCTTACAATCATTATATGATTTGCTGTTTAAGAAACATTTCTTACTATTATCAGTGTTGAAAACAGTTGCACTTTTTTAAAATCTAGGGTAGGCAGTTTCTGCGCTACTAGTGTCACCTAGGTGAAGTAAAGTATGTTTTCAAACAAACATTGATTGCCCCTTTTATGCGTCACGCTTCCACCAACTCAAATACAGCTCCTCAGCTCTATAAAAGTGAAGGCATGTCTGAAAAGGTAAAAGTAGACTAATTTCAATAAATTCTTTTTCCACACCTACTAAACACTCTCTGGCTCAGCCTGCTACAGTGGCCACGCCCCCAAACTCTTGCTATTTGCTGCACAGAGGTATGCAAATACCTATGTTCTTCTGCTGCTTCTTTTGCATTTTATGGTGGTTGGCAAACCAACTTGAGGGTTAGTTCGCCCCAAAATGAAAATTAGGCTGCGTTTTACTCACCCCCGAGGCATCCTAGGTGTATATGACTTTCTTCTTTCAGACGAATCCAGTCGGAGTTATATTAAAAATTGTCTTTGATCTTTCAAGCTCTGTCGTTGTACTCAGCGGGTGTTGCATTCCTTCTGTCCAAAAGACGTGAAATTAATGATCCGTTGAAATGCAATTTCATTTCATCATAAACCACTGGAGAAGGTGCTGATGAGATGATTATTGGTTGAATCGGATTCATCAAGCCTGGGAAGTTTATGGCTCCACAGATGGACTGTGAAATGCATCTGCACACCTCTCATTTTAACTGCTGAAAGATAATATGAAAAAATATATTTGAAACAAAAGGCTTTTTCAGCTTTTTACAGATATAAATTTAGCAGCTCTGTCACAACTAATCCAATTTAAAACGTTGATGTAAGTCAGAGTACAATTTTTTATATGTAGAGGACTAAATAAAGTAATTTAAGAATGTTGCGTATGTCAATCATTGTCTGTACAAATATAGATAAGCACATATAGTGGACCTTTTTTAAGCTACTTAATATATAATTTGTATTGCATTAAATAACATAATATCAAACCATAATCTACAATCAAATAATGATAGCCTTGTCTCAAAACTAATTAGCAATTTTTCTAGTTAACTTTAACTAAGGATGCACCAGTATTGAAAATCTGAATATTATTTTCATGTTATAATGTGAAAACATTACAATGCAAAAGTAAAATCAAACATTTTAAATGCTACAAGTGAATTTTGACATCACTACATTATAATTAATATTCAATTAATAATATATATTTGCTATATCTTACTTTTGCTATCTTACTTTAAAATAAAATATATTTTAAATATAATGCAATGACATTCATGCATTTTAGGTGCCATTTAATTGGCCAAATACCATTTGGAGTCATTCCTTTTTCTACTGATTGAAGCGTGTCCTGAACTGACCTTAGAGGAAATTATATCGTGATATTTCAGCCTATTCTACTCCAGTCTTTCTTTAAAGTTTCAATAAAGTAACTTATTTTAAAGATCAGATCTGCCAAATGAAGCAGAGCTGGGACATAATGGATGAAGGCACTTACAGTAAATTAAGTGGTGAATGGAAGTGTGACGCACACACTGTTGGTTTGTTTGATATAGTGATTAATGCTCCATTTCAAACTTTGAGCTTTATAACTTAATCTAAAGTAGATCGGACACGTTTACAAATGGGAGACTTGAAGTCTAATGGAAAGTGAGAGTGAGAGGAATATAAAACCACAGAGAAAGAGAGAAAGGTTTACACTTAACAGTTTCCTGTTGTTTTTCAGGTAAATATATCAGTGGTGGAGGCAGGGCTCAGTTTACTGTCGGGAAATGATGGAGTCTGAAACAGCTGTCTGAATGTACTGATCCAAGAGCAGTGATAACATCCTAACATGACTATTGAAATGCTAGCAGTACAGTATGACATTTCAGAAGAAGAGATAGAGATCAAGCTTGATGCTGAACTTTTTTACTCTCTCCCACAGTAAAGAGAAATTACTAAAGAGATCTCTTTAATATTTCATGTTGCACCTGGACAACATTGAGATTAAATGGAGAAGTCTCCTGCTTTTCAGGTTTATCTCAAGACCCCAATATTTTCACATCTCCTCCAATGTCACACACTGTGTTCAGAAGATACTAAAGTCGGCAATCAAGAGTCAAAGATCTCAAAATGAACAAACGCTGCTTTATCAGACGTTACATGCAAGATGGAAAATTATTATTATTTTTTTTAAAACCTACCTACTGTCAGGTCATCCAAGATGGAGATGAGTTGATTCACCATTGGAACAGATATGGAAGAATTTAGCTTTACATCACTTGTTCACCAATGGATGCTCTGCAGTGAATGGGTGCCGTCAGAATGAGAGTCCAAACTGCTGCACAGAGGTATGCAAATACCTATGTTCTTCTGCTGCTTCTTTTGCATTTTATGGTGGTTGGCAAACCAACTTGAGGGTTAGTTCGCCCCAAAATGAAAATTAGGCTGCGTTTTACTCAAATCTACAATGAATCCACAATTTTTTAACTTCAAACCATCATTTCCAGCTAAAATATGAGTCCTCTATTCATAATATTGCTTTCTCAAGATAAAGTCATCTTGTCTGAATCAGGAGAGAAATATGCACAGATCAAGCACCATTTACAAGCGAAAACAACACAGTTTTAAACAAATATACCAGTGGATTTTGATGTGAGAGGACAACAGAGGATGGACGTTTCCACTAGAGGAAAATTCATATTTTGGCTAGAAGCAATGGTTTAAAGTTAAAATGCCTTAATGATATATTTTTTTCTTTTCTTAAAAACTAATTTACATTTTGGATGACCTGAGGGTGAGTACATTTTCAGCCATTTTTCATTTTTGGCTAAAATATTCCTTTGAAAGAAACCCAGCTGAGAATGCCATTAAGTTCCTTAGGCCATGACATAGCAACTTTAAGCTTTCCTCATCTTTTCTCAGGAAGTGGACATCTACACAGTGAAGCCAGAGGAACTGTCCTTCACCTCCTCCTTCTGTCTGCAGATCCAGAGGAACGATTATGTCCACGCTCTGGTCACCTACTTCAATATCGAATTCACCAAGTGTCATAAAAAGACTGGCTTCTCCACAGGTGTCCTGTTTTATACTTCTCTATGTTCTGCATCTTGGATCACAGTACTTTGTGGTTGATGTCTGCCCTCTAGTGGCTCAGTTTTGACACAGCACTTCCAAAGGCATTGAATTAAACCAAAATAGACAACAAGAATAAAGTAAACCGATTTCTTAAATGAAAACCAGCTACATGTTTTGATGCATAAACATATAATGATATTAAAGTTACTATAAAGTGTTAGTAGTATATAAAGTCTATGAAAAGCATAAGCCTGCAAGTCCTACAATGAAGTGTTTCCTCAACGGCTCTGGGATAACAAAATAACAAAGATTCATTAATGAATAATTTTAAGCTTCTTGACTTTACATTCTAGAAGATTACCAAGCCACATCATGTTAATATTAACGATTAGAGTTTATATGTGTTATGTACCTTAAAGTGCCCTTATTATGGGTTATGAAAGGTTCATATTTTGGTTTTGGGAGTCCCCAACAACAGGTTGACATGCATGCAAGGTCAAAAAACACTTTCATTGTCTTATAATATGCATTTATTTTGACCTTACTTGCTCAACGACTCCCAAATGATTCGCTCAACGATTAATTTTTCCAAACCCCTCCTTTGCGTGACGCTAATCTGCGGTGATTGGTCGATTGGTCTCATATGTTCATTTCATCATGCCTGTAATGCCTGATAAAGCAGTGTTTGTGAGCGCAGTGCTGCTTTGTGTACAGCGTTACTTAAAACTTTGCAGGATGTTTCCATTCACTGCAGCTGTATTACACACTGCATGAAAGGTAATTTTCAAAAATCCATAATAGGGGCACTTTAAGCTAACACAACGACGGTGCTCTTGTTCTTGTTTAGTTTAATCCGGTTTACAACAGAAAACCTAGTACAGCAAGGCCAATGACAACACAGTGGCGAGTAGCGCCCTCTGTTGGTTATGTCGCTTTTTATTTCTCTATTTCACTATTGAGACAGATTTGTGCTTCTAAAAGGATGTGACTCAAGCAGATTGACTGCTGTGGTTTTGACTTTTCTTCTTATCCTCTCTTGATGTATTGTATAGTCAAGAGAGCACCTGACTCCTGATGTTGAGTTGCAGTGTTGTAAGGTGTTTTGTGATTCCCAGACAGTGATCTGAGGGCTCTGTTAACTTCTATTGATCTTTGAGGTTCAGTTTATTGCTCAGTCAGCACAGGCGTTTCCTCATGGGTGGAAGCTCAAGTGATCTTTTGTTTGGCAAGAAAACTAACGCTCAGACACAGACTTCGGGTCCTTATTTTCTCTCTAAATCACACACATAGCGTTTGCATCTTTTTTGGCAGCGGTCTTGAAAGAAATACAGGCTTCGAGAGGTTTATGTCTGGCAAGGCTTTAAAATCGGAATTTGTGAAGTGAATTTGTCAGCATTAGTATAAGATTCACTGTTGTATTTTATGTCTATTTGAAAAACACACACACACACAGACAGGATGATCATGGCCCTGTAATACTGATCAGCTCACTGTAGTTCATTCTTCTTATTGCATGGCTGCTTCTGAAATAATTATATACTTTGACATGAAATATAGATTTAGATATTGAAGTTTAAATTATATATAGGCTATGGAGCATGGAGTGGTCAGTAGAGGCCATTATATTTGACGTCAGAATCCAACAACTGATCAATCAGAATCAAGTGTTTCAGAGAGCAGCGTTACAACGTGTTATATATTTAATATTTTATTGTATATATTTTCTCTACCGTAGCACCAGATGCCCCGTACACACACTGGAAGCAGACAGTGTTTTATCTGGAGGAATATTTGACTGTGAAAAGAGGAGAGGAGATAGTCGGAACTGTCAGCATGAAGCCAAACGAGAAGAACGCAGTAAGAACTCACCTAATTAATAAAAATAAAAAAAGTCAAATATGCTTTCAAGACCCATTTTATTTTATTTTATTTTAAATAGTCAGTTAGTAATATAAGTATAGCCAAAAATATGCTTTCCATATTTTCAAAATATATATACACTGCCATTCAAATGTTTTGGGTCAATAAGATTTTCTAATGTTTTGGAAACAAGTTTCTTACACTCACCAAGGCTGGATTTAGTTGATAAAAATATATTGTGAAATATTATTAAGTAATAACATAACTATGTTCTATTTGAATATGTTTTAAAATGTAATTTATATCTGTGATGGCAAAGCTGACTTTTCAGCATCATTACTGCTGTCTTCAGTGTTACATGATCCTCCAGAAATCATTCGAATATGCTGATTTGATGCTCAAGAAGTTTTTTTTAATTTTTTATTATTATTGTTGAACGCATTTGTGCTGCTTAATATTTTTGTGGAAATCTGTGATTTTTTTTTTTCTAAAATAAAATGTTGCTGTAATGTTATAAAAGTCTTGTAAATGCATCCACACAGAATAAAAGTATTACCTTCTTTTGAAAAAAATTAATAAATTATAATAATTCCCCCAAACTTTTGAATGGTACTGTATAATTCAATGCAACTTTCTTATGTATTTTTTTCTTATAATTAAAATGCAATTTAACTTTCTTGTTTATCTATCCAGCGTGATCTGGACTTTACCTTTGAGCTGGATTTTAAAGGTCAGCTATGTGAGGCCGCTATCGCTCATGACTATAAGATGCGCTAAGTATCCAGCAGTGGCGAGAGACGGTTTGTGACAGTACTCAGAGAAGCAGAGGCAGGGGCCGCTCCGGATCACAGCTACAGCCCTGCTGCTGGGAAGAGACAGAGACAGAGACAGAGAGAAAGACCAGCACAGAAGTTGTTATCTCTGGGAGTCTTGCCAACGTTTTTGGAGCGGAGTGGCACTTCTAGCAATAGCAGCCTTGCCTTCGCCGACTCTAGCCTGCACTAGTACGCCATCTCTCCGACTGTTCAGGGGCCAACTATGACTACACCCCACTGCAAACAAAAGAATGTCATGCTCTTATGAATGTTAAGTGTTAGTTTATGGTGATTTTGCTTTTACATTAGGAGTGTGAGATAAGATATTTAATATTGAAGGTTGTGCTTCCAAGTCCCAGGCATTAAAAATATCTAAATTTAACATATTATCATATTACGAGAATAACTCCACTTACATAGTAATAATTCAATTGCTGGACTTTAACAATTTCAGTGCAGTAAAGTAAGTGATCTCATAATTTAAATCAGGTTTTAACAAAATCCAGAAATAATCCATTGCTTACTTAAATATCATTGGCCAATGCTAAGAACAATATTTTTTTTCCTGTAAAGCTTTAATAATGTTTTTTTTTTGCACCTACAAGGTTGGCAAATACAACTAAATATTGATGAAGTCTATAAGAAATTTTTTTTTTTCACCACAATGTTTTACCAAAAAGATCAATTATGTTTAAATGTCATGGCATAATCAGCATTTTTTTAACTGAGTAATTATACATAGACCATAAAAGAATATTTGAATTTCAATAAAAGCTAAATTTAGCTATTATATTATATTATATTATATTATATTATATTGTGATGAATGGAGACATCCAAATTGGAATCAAATTGCATGGCAGTTTCATACTGCAATAAAAACTAAACTTTTAAAAAATATAATTTATGTTTTATTTTAAAAGGTCTGTGAATTACACACCAAATTTAATTTTATAATATAAAATCATTAGGTTCTGCATGCTATTAATGATATATAGTACATCGTGTGGACACCCATTTCCTGAGAACAGTGCATCAATTATAAAATTTAAGATTTGGGGCATCGATAACAGTTCTAAACCAAACAAAAAAAGTTTCTTGCCTATGATTATCAGAGGAAAACAAATCAGATGCTAATAATGGAAATTACAAGACAAAAAGACTGATTGCAATACACTGATGTGGTAAAATTGTACTTTTGTTTTTCTAGTAACTTTATGAGACTGCAGTATGTCGTGTTAGTATTATTTATGATTCTAGGTGTGTGGAATTACATTTCAACTTACATCTGCTAACTGAGCACAGAGATGAAAATAGAAAAAGAGAACCAGCACATGATACATATCAAAATACAGATGGCATGTGAAATGCTGGCTCTGTCTGCGGTGAGATCTTGATGAGCTGGACTCAGATGGCACCTGCTGCTCTTCACCTGTGCTCTTATTAGAGTCTTTGCCAAGGCCATGACTGGGATCGTCCCGGTCCATCTGTGACCCCCGTGTCACAGCTGATTATACTGTTCAAGTCCTCACCAAAGACATTCAGTTCACTTGCAAAGCACATTGTTCGTTATGCGTTATATTTATTGTTCATAGTTTGTTTTTACTATAGGTATTTATCTGATTCCTTGGTGGAATATTGTGCAATATTGGAAAGTGTGAATAACGATCTTCTCTGTGCAAGGAATGTTTTCCTCATCCATTATGGTATTTTCAACTGGGTGTTTGGTATTGAATTTGAGGTTCACATGTTAAAAATATGTTTATAATGATTTGAGCATCTATCAAGATAATAGTAAATAAAATTGCTGAAAACTAATTGAAGCTACGTAAAATGTTTATAGGTGTACAATAGCATGCCTTTGAAAGCATATTTGGCTGTTTATAAAGACATGTTGCTGTTGTGATAAAAACATTAAAGTGAAACGAAAAAGTCTGAACATTTCTGAAACGTTGGTGATGTAAGATGGTAAAGCAAATAAAAGTCATTTGTCCATTATTGTGAGGTGTAATGTTTGATTGTGCTCTAGTCTAAATGTAGTACCACTTGTAGTCCACAAGGGGGCTTGAAAGGATTATAAATATAAAACAAATGACACAAGTCTATCTGAAGTACTTACGGTGACCATACGTCCTTTTTATGCTGGCTGGGATTTCTGAATTGCCTAAAATGTCTGGGTTTTGGCTTTATTTTCCTATTTACTTCTCTACACTGCTCATACAATATATGTACGTGTATTTGAATTGCTTGACCGTTCTTCTGTAAATCCCACCTTCTCACATGCCACGATTGGCCGATTATGTACAATGCCTGCACGCTATTGGTCAAACTACTTTTCAGTCATTACCTTAAAGGGATAGTTCACCCAAAAATGAAAATTTGATGTTTATCTGCTTACCCCCAGGGCATCCAAGATGACTTTGTTTCTTCAGTAGAACACAAACGAAGATTTTTAACACAAACCGTTGCAGTCTGTCAGTCTTATAATGGAGGTGAATGGGAATCACGGCTTTGAGAGTAAAAAAAAAACATACACAAACAAAACCAAATTAAACCCTGCGGCTCGTGACGATACATTGATGTGTAAAGACACAAAACGATCGGTCTGTGCAAGAAACTGAACAGTATTTATATTGTTTTTTACCTTTGATTCACGCAATGTCCAAATTGTTCGAACTGTCCTGAGTGGCGGCGCGTCCTCCTGAGCGCGTATCGCCTATCTCTCAAATGGACCATTGACACTATCTACAATCTCAATTAGGAGTGTCAATGGTCCACTTGAGAGATAGGTGGCGGTAATGCACTTATAAGTCTGTGATCAGCCGTAAAGCAAGAAGAAGAAGAAGAAGACGCCTCACGCGCCTGCTGTTGAGAACACGCTCAGGACGACGCGCCGCCGCACAGGACAGTTCGGACATTGCGTGAATCAGAGGTAAAAAACTATATAAATACTGTTCAGTTTCTTGCACAGACCGATCGTTTTGTGTCTTTACACATCAATGTATCGTCACGAGCTGCAGGGTTTAATTTGGTTTTGTTTGTGTGTTTTTTTTTACTCTCAAAGCCGTGATTCCCATTCACCTCCATTATAAGACTGACAGACTGCAACGGTTTGTGTTAAAAATCTTCGTTTGTGTTCTACTGAAGAAACAAAGTCACCTACATCTTGGATGCCCTGGGGGTAAGCAGATAAACATCAAATTTTCATTTTTGGGTGAACTATCCCTTTAAGCAAGCATGGAAATAATAGGAAAACAAAGCCAAAACTGGACATTTTAGGCAATTTTGAAATCCTGGCCTAGACAAAGGAATGGAATACTAGTATATTTGTTACTATATATTTTTCACAGTATGCTTGTAAATTTATTAGTAAGGGAAACATGAAATATACAGCACAACATTTTTTTAATAATTAAAAGAGTTAATTTAAACTGGTAAAACCTGTTGAACCTCAGGTTGAGCTTTCAGAACAAGGCCTTAAATATCTGAAGTCGTTGTCCTTGTTTTCTAGAGTTCATTGTTCAATGAAAGTAATTTCCCAGAAAGCACAAACTGGAATTAATGCAAACAAAGTATTCTTTAGTTTAATATTTCACTCAAAATACATTTCTGTTTAGTATTTACACATTACACATGTACATAATAAAGCAGGAACATTTATAAGACTAAATAAGTGAAAAATTATTTAAAACATCCACATTGTGCTCAAATCTAGTGTCATTCTGCCCAGTGGTCATACAGTAGCTGTGATAGAGAAACTTGCCATAACTTATGTGTGAATCAATCAATATGAAAACTCAAGTTTCAGATCAAGAATCATATTACTGAAAAACTTGAGAAAACACAGCACAGGCCTTATCTCAAATGTGCATAAATCCACTGTCTGGTGGACAATTAATGCATCTCTAATTATTTATGGTAAATGTGAACATCAACGACTGCTGTGACTGTGAGACATTTTACACTGATTTAACACTGACTGCATTAAATAGCAAATACAGATATACACAGTACTGTTGGCACAATACATAAAATACAAATCAAAAAGTGATCTGAAATCAATAATGGACTAAATCCATTTAATTAAATCAATGGTTTATTCAGCACTGTAAAGCGAACAACACTGAACCCTGTTAAAACCGAATCCTTATGCAAACCATATGTTCGCTTCATGGCAGTGTATTAAAAATATTCATGCTGATGACAGCAAAAAGAGCCATTTTTTCAGAGTATGTCTGCTTGCTAGGAATAATATAAATAATACATTTGTGCAAACGACTGTGCTAACTAGTGTGTAGGAGCTTATTTTGCTCATTTAAATATACTTTCCAAGACCTTCATATTAAAAAGATAAATTACAACAACTGTCAATACAAAAATAGAGGTTTGTTTACTTCAATAGTGTGACAAGAGATTTAAATGACCTTAATGGGACACGCTTTACAACTGTGTAATGTACAAAACTATAGTGCTCTATTTCAAGCCCTACATCTAACTATTATCATAAAACTCATCCGTTTCACATTGTAAAGAGGTACTGGTATATAAAAAGACCGAATATTTTTAACTCCACAGTGGTCATTCAAAAAGAAAAAACAGGAACATAAGAGGAAGAATAACAGATCAGCATTAACACCAAACCGTATTAAAATGCAAAGCAAAAAAAAGGTTTGAAAGATCTGCAGGTTTCTGTGAGTGTTTATGGGTGACTTTCTGCTAGCAGCAGGACTTCTTCTTAGCGTGGCTGTCTACTAGTGACACAGTTTTCTCTTTTTCTCTGTCCTCTTGGTCTTTTAGAACTCTGACAGAGAGAGAGAAAAAAAAAAGTAGCACATCTTATAAGGTGCAGTACAAGAAAAAAAAACAAAAAAAAAACTGTACTCGGGAATAACCTGGCTGTTTATGCAGCTGCATATGCAATAAACAGATATTAAAAAGTATTCTGCCAAAAGTCTGTTCACATACTGAAACATATTTTAGTCTCATAAAGTTACTAGAAAAACAAATTCACAATTTTACCACATCACTGTATTGCAATCACTCTTTTGTCTTGTAATTTCCAATATTAGATTCTGATTTGTTTATATACTTCATATAATTTTATTTATATAATGTTTATTTTGTTTACGTTTTTTCATTTTGTTTTTAAGTTTTAGTCATTTTTATTATTATTTAAAAAAAATATATATATATATGACCAACATATATATATACTTATATTCTTGTAGTCAAAAATCTGGCGTGAATGTATTCAAAAGCACTCTTCTGTGTACTCATTAAAAAAAAAAAAAAAAACTAATAACCTCTTACCTTGCCATATGAATCATGGACTCTGTCACATTGTGGCTTGAAAAAGCACTGCACTCATAGAAAATCAACTGAAAGTCCTGAAAGAGTGAAAAGGAAATGGCAAAATAAAATACTTTTAGAATAACGGGTAATTCTTACTGTATGCCATTCAGTGTGGTTCTTTATCTGGTGAGTTCATGCAACAGTAACTGACAGGAAGCCACTTTATGCATCTTCATTGAGACGGGAGAAAGGACTTCCTTACACGCACCTCACGGCTGAATACTCATTCAGCTCTGAATCAGTTCTTTAACTTGTTTGTTTCAAGACCGCCATGCTTAAAATGTTTAATGGTGATCCATTAGGGCCCACATTCACTCACCTTGGCTAATTTCTCTGCCACTCCCAGGCCCACATTCACTCACCTTGGCTAATTTCTCTGCCACTCCCAGTGGAACCTCTCTCTGGCCATCTAGATCGGTCTTGTTCCCCAGGAGCATGATGGGAATGTCCTCACCTGCTCCCTCCTGTAAGACAGAGAAAGATAAACACTTCCCATTAAAACGAATTAAAACTGCCTTACCGCATTGACGATACAGCTGACTTGCTTGAAATAAGCATTTTATTGCATTTTTGTTGTCTATTTATTGATTTAATTATACACACTAACGTTCAAAAGGTTGGGGTTGATAAGATTTGTTCATCTTTTTTTGAAAAAAAGTCACTTATGTTAACAAAGGCTGTATTTATTTAATAAAAAAATACAGTAAAAACAGTAGCCTATAGTAAAAATAAGTGTAACCTTCAAAAATCATTCAAATATGCTGATTTGGTGCTCAAGAAACTTTTATTATAAATAATCAATGTTGAAAACCTGTGTGCTGATTCACAGCTTTGTGGAAACCATGAACATTTTTTTCAGGATGTCTTGATGAATATAATTAGTAGATCTTTTTTTCTTTTGTAACATTATAAATGTCTTTACAGTAACTTTTGATCAATTTAAAACATCTTTGCTGAATAAAAGGTATCAAAAATGTCATACTTTTATTCAGCAAGGATGCCTTAAACTGATCAAAAGTGAATTAATAAAAGTATCAAAAAAAAAAATTACTTACTGATCCCGAACTTTTGAAACTAGGACTTTCATTATCTATTGAAACAAAAATTTGAGTGGAACAAATTCCTTTTTTTTAGGCCAGTAGGTCAGCAGCAACTTTACATAAAAGCCTGTTAAAAGTTACACTTCTACCACTAATAAAAAAATAAAATAAATAAAAATAGGGAAGGAAAAAAATTGTGTTAGCCAATTGCTACTTGTTATTACTAGTTGGAAGCAGGTAGTATTTATAATTCAAGCGGAAGAGTCGTGTTTAAATCTAAAGCGCATTTTACTGGACAAAATATTTCCTTACACCGTATTTCATAAATATTTCAATCAATTCCCCAAAGGTGTATGTGTATATAAGTATAAATTTAATCTTTTACCCAAAAGAAAGTGGAAATGAATCACTCACCTGCACGCTGGCCAGCCAATGCCTCACTGCTGTGAAAGTCTGCTCATTAGTGACGTCATACACCACTACCACGCCATCGGCCTTGCGAAAAAACTGCTTGGTAATGCTGCGATACCTGTCGGCAGATCCCCACAATAAAACATCTTTAGCATTCACTTATTTTTCCAGTTAAAAGATGCAATGGAGCGATCAATGAACAATTAGATTATAATTAATTAAGATTGTTAACAGAAACATAAACCTATATGAAAAAAATCAATAAAACACAACTCGCCTCTCCTGTCCTGCTGTGTCCCACATTTGCAAGGCTACCTGGCTGTTGTCTACTGTAAGAGTCTTCACACTGTAGTCAATACCTGCACTCGTCACAAAATGAAAAAAAAAGTCAGTCTGAAGGAGAAGGAAAGGACTAGGAGTCATGCCATTTAATATTTTCATGCTTTTGTTTCCATCCTAGAAGCAGCTCCACACACAAGCCCTGACTAAAGGCCAGACGGAATTGATTTGTGGTTTTAGTCAATACAAAGTTACTGATAAACAATCAGCTAAATAGGAACCATGCAAATGGACACACATTATGTCGCTTTATTTTTACCTGTTCAATTGTATGCACAGATACTTTGCTAATAAAATGGGCCAAAAAGTATCGTGGTATTACAGTTTTGTTTTTGTTTTTTTACCATGGTATACTTTAGTATAGAAATAGACTTGAGTGCTTTAAAGGTTAAAATCTGAAGTCAGCAAAACCTCAACGTTGTGTGAAAACTAATAACCTCTTACCTTGCCATATGAATCATGGACTCTGTCACATTGTGGCTTGAAAAAGCACTGCACTCATAGAAAATCAACTGAAAGTCCTGAAAGAGTGAAAAGGAAATGGCAAAATAAAATACTTTTAGAATAACGGGTAATTCTTACTGTATGCCATTCAGTGTGGTTCTTTATCTGGTGAGTTCATGCAACAGTAACTGACAGGAAGCCACTTTATGCATCTTCATTGAGACGGGAGAAAGGACTTCCTTACACGCACCTCACGGCTGAATACTCATTCAGCTCTGAATCAGTTCTTTAACTTGTTTGTTTCAAGACCGCCATGCTTAAAATGTTTAATGGTGATCCATTAGTGCCACTCCAGGGCCCACATTCACTCACCTTGGCTAATTTCTCTGCCACTCCCAGTGGAACCTCTCTCTGGCCATCTAGATCGGTCTTGTTCCCCAGGAGCATGATGGGAATGTCCTCACCTGCTCCCTCCTGTAAGACAGTGCTTTAAAGGTTAAAATCTGAAGTCAGCAAAACCTCAACGTTGTGTGAGACTAATTATGGTTAAACAGTGTTACTGCATACTGCATACTGCAGTGTTACAGTGTTAGTGACAGTGCATGTCGACAATTAACAGACCCAGCAACAACATGGCATCAAATTGGACTCACACCCAAAGACATGGCTTTGGAGCAGCATGATGGTAAGTCGATGACAGAAATTTCATTTTGGGTGAGCAAGCGCCTTAAAATTGAGGCTATTTAGGTTAAATAAATAAAAATACCCCTAGACACTAGTAAATATATGAAAGAAGGCCACTTACCTACAGTAGCACATGTACCAGAGTGGAAACAGTTGTCACAGAAGCGACGTAGAAGAGATGTTTTTCCCACACTAGAATTCCCCACCAGAACTATCTTAAAGAGACGATCTGGACCTGAACTGGCCCCTTCCTCCTGGGAAAAAAAATAAAAATTAAAAAAAGACACCACAATGAATGAAAAGGGGAAGAAAGCCAGGTCTATGTGACCCAAAAACCTGTTAGTGAACATTTTTGATGTTAGTGTAAAGGACATGTAAATATTCTAAAGAACTATATTCCATTATAAAGAACCTTCTGCGCAATGGAAATGTTCCATGGATGTTAAAGGTTCCTCATTGATGCCAATTAAGAACCTTTATTTTGAAGAGTATACTCATTTTGAAACCTCAACGAATGTCTTGGGTTCAGACCAAATCAAGCTGTTTTCTCACCGACTGGACTGTCTCTTTGCCCACAGGCTGTCCTCTGGGTGAGGTGGGTGTGGGTGCGACTCCTGAAGGGGGTGAAACAGAGGTCGGAGTGCTGGTTGTGGGGTAAATATTGCTCATCTGGAGGTCCATGCCCTCCTCCAACTCCTCATCTTCACTCCAATCTCTGAGATGGGCTTGATAACCCTGCTGAAGGAGCTGAGGAAGATGGTCCTCCTCGATGGAGATGATTCTCTGGAGCTGGTGTTTTGAAGGAGGTCGTCCATCTACCATGTCCTCCAGGTCCATGCTGTGCCCATTTACGCCAATCACGTTCTTCCGCTTTGATTGTGGCAGAACCTCTTCATCCTCATCACTGGAGAAGACAACATCCACATGTATGCTTATTTATTCACTAAAATGACATCAGCAATATGGAGTACTACCTTTTTTGATTACTCAAAACTATAAATATCAAGAAAGCATCTTATTGATGTCTTCACAATAAGCTTTGATTAAACTCAAGTCTAAAATGACTAGCTCTTTTATCTGAGGAGAGTCAGATCCTTTTTGATTTTGCAGATCCACTGTATCTTTTCATCTTGAGTACCGTTGAGTGTACAGATGGCATTTTCACACAGCCATACCTCTTAAATGAATTCTTCCGCTCAGACTGCTTCATAGTAATTGACCCAGGCCTCTGTTTCCATGAGAGTTTTGCAGCAGAAGTATTTGGTTTCTGAAAGACAGCAAACAATGTCTTGAAATTATCAAAATACAGGATCAGTACAATGTCTAATATAACATCTATATGAACCTACTTGATAGCACATGTCTCTTTCATCTCGTAAGTGTTTGTTCATTTCCCTAGAAGGAATGAAACGGAACACATGAAATCTGGGCTAACATAAAGACCCGCCCCTTCATTGATAGTTATTTCTTACCTCAGCAAATCAAGCTGCTTGAGAAGACTTGCCCTCTCTCTTTGCAAGCTTTCTGTAACCCTATAAATCTCCCTGGAATAAATAAATAAATATTTTTGCCAGCAGGACTGATACCAAATCAAACAAGGGACAAACTTTATTAACTAAATTCGAATTATTAGATACCAGCTTTAATGAAATTAAATAAACAAATACATAAAAATACATTTTAAATGTAATGTTTTAAATGTAATGTATAATAAACTGTGATATATTTCTTAGCTTATGATGATTTAAATAAATATATCATTGTAATGTACAGTAACATCATTGTAAGAACAGTAATGAGAATCAGGGAGAAAATAATGACAATTACCAAAATAATGACAAATAAATTAGACAATAATCACAATTACACAAAATAATAAATAATTGTAGGGAATGACAATTGACAAAAAAAAAAGACAAAAAAAAGTATTTATTTATTTTATTTTAGTGTGAAATTTGACCCTGATATGCTTTGAACGCAGTGTACAAATAATGTTTTATTAAAAATGTTGTTAAATTGTATTAAAGGGATAGTTCACCCAAAAATGAAAATTCTGTCATTAATTACTCACTAATTAATGACAGTAATTAATTACTGTCATTAATTTGTCTCCTCCGCGTCACCCTGGCGCCGTTTTGGAGAGTATCCAAAGGAGGAGACAAATTGTCGAATAAAGTAATTATTTTTGTTTTCTTTGCACACAAAAAGTATTCTCATAGCTTCGAAAAATTACGGTTGAACCACTGATGTCACATGGATTATTTTACCGATGTCCTTGCTACGTTTCTGAACCTTGACCGTGTAAGGATCCTTGCTGTCTATGGGAGGGTCAGAGAGCTCTCAGATTCCATCAAAAATATCTTAATTTGTGTTCCGAAGATGAACGGAGGTCTTACAGGTTTGGAACGACACGAGGATGAGTAATTAATGACAGAATTTTCATTTTTGGGTGAACTTAGAGCTATATTATTATATTATATTTAGTGCTGTCAAACGATCGCGATTAATCGCATCCAAAATTTAAGTTTTTGTTAACATAATATGTGTGTATACTGTGTATATTTATTAAGTATATATAAATACAAACACATGCATGCATAGATTTAAGAAAAATATGTTATGTTTATATATCAAATATATTTATATATCATATAAAATATAACAATATAAATATATAAATGCATATACAAGTAAATATTTTCAAAATATATACTGTATGTGTGTGTATTTATATAAACATAATAAATATACACAGTACACACACACACATATATTATATAAACAAAAACTTTTATTTTGGATGCGATTAATCGCGATTAATCGTTCGACAGCACTAATTATATTATATTATATTATATTATTCACTTTTGAATTTAATTTTACTATATTGTATATAGCACATAGCAGCATAGCACTAAATGTCATATCATCCTCACATCTCTCTTTCCTCGTGCAGGCATGAGGACTGTTCCTGCAGCAGCATGAGTTGCTCCTGGGCCAGACTCAGCTCCTGGGTGGTGTTGTCCAGCTCACTGCTCAAGTCCTCATTACACTGCTTCAGTTTGACGTTCTCCACGGCTGTCTCCCGCTGCTCGCTGTACAGCTCTCGACACTGACGCTCCAGCTGACGGACATCAAACAAACACACATGTACAAATGAAACAATCAACACATAAGCTATCATAAACATAACTGAAGAACAAGAAGCTCTTTGAAACTAATTGTGCTGGATAACCAGACATACCAGCCATGTATATTTACACCACTATCAAGAACTTGGAAGGATAACCTTGGAAGTGTTAATGTGAATGTTTGGATGGGACATTGTGGGAGGAATGGATTGATAAGAAAGCTCTTACACTCATGCTTTTCAACACAGCTATGCTGCTAAATATAGACACGATAGGACACAATACCACGTCTATGACCAAACATACTATACCACACTTCAGCTCCTCACAGCAGAAAAGCAGTTTTGCTTGCTTTTACATTGCAGCAAAGAGCATAATAAAGGAACTAATTTGCTTTAGCTGTTTGCAAATGCGAAGAGAAGAAAATGAAGCTTGTAATGATGCAGGCAAAGGAAGCATTACGACTTTGTTACTTTCGGTTCATTCATTAGCACTGAAAGGCTTTGCTGGGTTTTGTCTATTGTGTGTATAGAACAGCGTCTATTTTTGTGTGCGTCAGCACTGTCAGATGTGGTTTTCTGAAAGTTGAACACGAATTTCCAGCAAATGATCAACAGCACCTGGTGATTGTGTTAAAGAATCTGAGAGTAATACTTCTGAGCATTAAGACTCGTACAGTATTTGAGTCAAAGTCCTTAAAATGTAGATGTTAGTTTGTTCTTGAGTTCAAGTTACAGCCTTTCCTTGACCTTTCATTAGGATTAAAATAAAGCCCTTACAGGAAATGATATCACTCTTATTCACACATTCAAATAGTGAATAGATGTGCAATGTCTTCATAAATATTACTAGTTAAACTGGTTTAGTGACAAGCAAAGGAATTTGTTGTGACCCACCCGTTTCTGTTTGTTAGAAAGGATTTCCAGCTCTTTCTCTTTAGCGGAAAGCTGGTGCTCCATGTCCTGACTGCGAGACAAGAACCGCTCAGAATCCTAGAGAACATACAGTTCACATGAGCGATACAATTTACCATGGTACATAGAAAAAGCCCAGTTCACACCAAGATCGATAACTATAAAGATAACAATATTAGCGTCCACACCAGCAGACGATATCGTCGGTTTATTCTAAGCGCATGCTCATCTGCCGCTTTAAATTCTCAAGCTCGTTATAGCAGGATGGATTCTGATTGGGTGTCAATGTTTGTATCAATCATAAGCTGGAAAAATCGATATCATTTCTCTGTGCCTCTATCGTTATAGCTGTGGTGTGGTGCTATTCTTTAATATTGAGAACGATTTTTAGAACTATATCTATCGTTATCTTTATAGTTATCGTCTTTGGTGTGAACGGGCCTTAACAGTTAGTGTTTCTACTGTAAACATAACTTAATTTGAAATTGCCAGTCTAATGACCTTTCAGAATCTTTTTTATTTTAATTTGTTTTTATCATTTCTGGTCTCTACATACTGTATGATTTTCAATGAAAGTCTATGAGATTCCCCACTCCCTTTTTTATAGTCCTTCATTACGTTTCCTTGAGGTCCATGGTAACACATAACACTTGCTTTTTTCAAATGACCAATCTGAGTAATTAATAAGTAATAATTGTTTCACCTCTAAGAGTATCCTGTCCTTTTCATTCTTGATCTGTTGCTCCATTTCTTCATATAGCCTCTGGATTTCATCATCATGTGTCGCTGCTTTCCTATGAAAGATGTCAGGATCACTCAAAAAGCTTTTGAGTCACTTAGTCATATGAAAGAATAAAACACTATTCATTGGGTACATGGAACAGACGTCATTCAAAAGGCATTTACAGGTCAGCTCTCAGCAGATATTTCAATTATATATCTTTAAAAGCCACAATAGACATGTCTATCAAGCCTCAGTACAGGCTCTCCATTGTGATAAAAAGAGAATAAATGTGGAATAAATTAAAGGGATCAATATATTTGAAAACCGAGTGATGCTCATAATCATGTGAGCATGCATTACACATTACTTTTTTCATTAGAATGTTTTAGAAAAAAAATATATTTGCTTGCTTGTAATATATCCTTTAATGGTTAACAGAATACTGTAAACTCACCGCTTAACACTAAAATCTTACCTTTGCTAATGCTCAGATAATAAACTTTTGGAGCATAGTACAAGCCAACTCTGTTACCAATTATACAGTCAGGCTCAGGGGTGAAAATCTCATGCAAAAGCCAACTTTCCTAGTGCTTGCATCACATCTGTCCCTTGAGTCTTATTAGTCACGATATGTGACTGTCAAGTCAACCAACATGGGATTCATATAGTGGGCTGACACTCAAAATGTATGAATGTCACTGAGTAGGTAACGATAACAAAATATCAAACCAAGTCCCATTTATTTTAAAGGTAGCACAAACACATTTTTCAAGACAAAAAAAAAATATTGCAAAAAGTATTTTTTGAAGCTCTCTACCATAACTTTTGGTCATTTTTAATGCATCTTTGTTCAATTAAAATAGATAAATAAATAATTAATATCTTACTGACCTTAGACTTTTAAACAGTAGTCTATAAGTGTCTAAATACTGTACGAAACACATTTTTCCATTACAACTTTCTACAAGAGTAACATCCCTTCAAAATGCATGTTCAAATTCTGAAAGGAATAAAGGTGCTTAATTGACATCTGACCTTTTAAGGGCCGTCTCCATCTCTTTCTTCTCCTGGTTGGTCTCTTTGATCTGATAAGTGACCCTGGCAAGGAACTCCTCAAAATTGGACAGAAGGTGAGGTTCGTCTTTTCTGAGCTGCACCCAAAGACTCCGCACCTCTCCTGGCCTGAGACGTCACAGTTTGAGTTTGCGGTGTGTTTTACCTTTATATGACTTTATATGAAGTTTTATCTATTATAGCATCTTATATCACACTCCACAAAAAATGTGCTCCACTGTTAAAAATAATTATACATGTACAAAGTCCACAGTCAGATAAATTCTAAACTCTAATTTTTTTTTTTTAATGTTTTCAATGCAGTAACCTTCGTCTTGGAAATGCATTAATTCTGAAACATAAAGGCTCTTAGTAAAGACATTCACAGTATTTTCTGTTGCAGAAAAAAAGCTTATACTAGCAATAGGTCTCCTGAAAGGATATCAAAATCACATCATGATTTTGTGGAACTACAGTAAAAAATAAAAAATAAAAAAAAATGCTCCTTTTATCGAACAGCAAAATGAAGCTGACTGTATATGAGATGCAATCAGAATCTAATCCAAACTGTCAGCTCTACCCAATAACCATACACAAGGATTACAGTCAGTCAGAAGGATGAACTTTTATAATTGATGTCTTCCACTATCACCGTTTGCCTTTTAGGAGTGGCGGTAGTTTGCTGAAAGTGCATCCGGTCATGTGTTACAAAAATGGGCTCAACGCACCATATGGTCAATAAGAAGACAAGAATTGACCTTTGGTGTAAAGTTGCTTTTTAAATGAAATCTAAATTATATTTTTATGATAGTCAGAAATACAGTAACTATAGTTATAGATAAAAATACATAACTAATGTGTTTTATAGCATGAAAATAGCATCTCAGCTAGTGTAGTTCCATGCAAGAATACTTCTAAGAATGTATAAATCCTATAACTGAAATATATAACAACCTAAAAATTAATTATTAAGATTAATTTTAGGTTGTTATCTATTTCAGTTATTTCAGAATTTATACATTAGTGGGAATATTCTTGCATGGAAGTGCACTATAGGAACTACACTACAACCATGAATATTAATTTTAGGATCCATTTCAAATAGCGTGGTTGACTAAAATGACTCTCACTCTTCAAAGATGTTGCTTGCCCCCAGGTTCTCCATTAGCATGCAGAAGTGTTGCTCCTCGTCATCGTCTCCCCTGCTGTGTCTCTCCTCCCACTGGCTCTCGTAGAGCACTTCTTGAGTCTTTGCTGAGACTGGCTCCTCGCCTGCATGTGGATCTACTGACACCACACCTGGACCAAACATAAATTCACCTGAATGGGAGACATAAATACATTAGCAAACGTTTAAAGGATACAGACAGCCCAAAATACAACATATAATATCAATCAGATGTTTCAATAATCGAAAACACACATACATTTTATATATATAATTTTTTTTTTTTTTTACTGAATGCTGTATAGATTCAAATGCAAACGCACTAAAGCCGGAGGAGAACTCCTCAAGGGTCAGATATCCATTGCCATCTGCGTCCAGAGTTGCAAAGACGTTCTCAAGTTCCTCAGCACTCAGCGGAAGCTCTCCATTTAATCTCTACAACACATGACAAATGATACAGGCATGTTATGAAAAGCATAATGCATTTTGCATCACCTGAAAATAAGCAAATTAAGAGTATACTGTAAATAAAAACAGATAACGTATTATACAGTGTATCTTATGTATCTTTACATTTACTGTAGCTTAGAAGTCATACATGCTGTATATAAATAAAAAATATATAATATATTTTATTGGTTTTACAATTAAATTACAATTAATTACAGTAAATCGAAACTCACAAAACATGTTTATGAGGCAACTGAATGTCACTACAAAACCAAACTCGACCACATATTCTCCAATCTCTTACCAGGTTATTTGTATGTCATGAGTAAGGTCTCAAACGAAGTTGACATTTGACACCTTTAAAAATCAGTCAGGCTGTTGATTTCAGTGATCAACCCCGTTAACACACAGTAAGAACGCTACTATTCTTAGAGAGCAAATAACACACCCTGTGTGGGAACCTGACACATGTTTGCTCAGATATGCTCTGGGATCAGATGTCCCATAAAACACTACATATAATTCTCAGTGTGACTTTAGCGTGGACTTTTGGATTTTTCTGTACTTGTAAAAGTCAGTTGTAAACGCTGATGGACGTGTGAAAACAGTTGCGTAAAAATGAGCACAAAGTGTGAGCCATCACCCAGTTCCTCCGTTAAACTAAAGTGACAGCTTCTAAAAACAGCAATAAAACCCCTCCTGTGGCTTTTTTGACGGCCTGAAGGTTTAGAAAACGCTGCTCTTTGAAACCCCAATAGTGTTGTCAGCGCTTTCTGCAAGACCAACATGTGGTGGACCCATGATGCAAGTTACTTTGCCAAGCACGTAAATGTTGTCACAGTCTTCACAATAGCATGTACACAATCATTAAACAGAAAGATTTAAATGCGTATGGATTTGTGGAATTTATTTAATCCAAATGGGTTGAAATAACAAAAGGCATCATTTAAATAAAGATGAGGAACCAATGTTTATTAATGCTTTTTCCATAGACACTGGATCAAAGGTGTGATGCTTTTGAAAAAGGCTCTTCAGAGCAAGGCCCGAGAGCCAGACTTCAAAGGAAACATATGCAATGAATGGAAAATCTAAGAGGTGATCGAATCTGCACAATAATACAACTGAAGGGGTGGTTTCAAAATGCCCACCACAATTTTAGGATGGTCTCCCAAGCTCCTACGATTCTGACAAGCTGCATAAAGCTGTACTGAAACTTCATATTTCATATAAATCAACCACACTGATGAGAGATTAATATAGATCTCACACACTATGACCAATAGGTGGAACAGAAAATATAGAAAATAATAATAAAAATATGGTGGTGGTACCGTGGTACAATGATCTGATGCCATATCATGGTATTTGATAAAAAGTATTTGAGAGGTACTGAATGATTACTGTAGTAATTTACAGTGGTATTTACATGATTACTACACAAGTCCAAAAAAGAAAAACAAACAAACAAAAACACATAGCATTACCATGGTAAAATTCAATATATACACTGATTTTTTTCACAGAAATTCATAGAAAGACAAAATATTAGTTTACCAAAATAAGAGGGATATATATATATATAT